GGTTGACGCAAGTGATTGTTCGATGATTTTAATAAATGCCGATGGTTGCATCAGAGATCTGATATCTTCTTTCTTCTCCAATTCTATTGCATTGCATGGACATTGTTGCCATGTCGTTTCAAAGCTCTCGGGGAATTGCTTCGAAAAAGCATTTATGGGGAGCTCTACTTTTCACCGCAAGCTCTTTACATTCTGTGCTAGCCATCCACGAGGGATCGATTAGTCAAATAATTTTGCTAATATTTATTATTTTACATTTGCGGTTTTATGATTTATGTAAGTTAAGCAGTCGATTACGATAGGATTGTTTAATACTTTTACTGTTTTTTTTTTTTCTTGTTTTCATTAATAATGAATGTTATCTTCGAATAGCAATTTATTAGTGTTCTAAAAGCGTAGTGCATGACTATACGTGCAAATTAAGCTTCGGTTGATTCTGACCTAGTTGAGACTTATGCGTTAAAAAAAAAAAAATTATTTTAATATTATTTTAAATTTTTATCAATTTAAAAATTATTTAATAATATATACAAATTATAATAAATATACTTTCGAACAATAAACGAGATGTATTATGATAGTGCTAATTGAATTACATGAAGAGTTTATTTTTTATTTAGTTAGTAAAAGATAGGAAAATGGTTAATTATAAATAACTATTTTTATTAGTTAGTAAAAGATAGGAAAATGGTCAAATAAAGGGAATGTTTATTCAACGTCAAAAGTTCACAACAAAATTCTCTGAGATGCCCTTTATAAATTAATGGATTAATAAGTGGTTACTAATTTTTTAGACTTTCATGGTCTATTTGGGCCCATTATTTCCTAAAAATATATTTTGGAATAGTAAATTGATAGAAAATGTGTAATTAAAAAAAAAATTGAATTTGTATAATATTATTTTATTGAAAAATATATATAGTTCAAAAGAAGAGGGAAAAATACATTTTAAAAATAATGGAGATCAAACAATAGTTCAATCTATTGACATAAAAGTTGAAAGAAATATAATTTGTTGGGCATTTTGGTAAATGATGTCCAAATCCTCTAGGTAATGATGAAAAATCGTTGCTCAATCATCTTCATAGGCTATAAGCCCGAAATTAAAGAATATTAAATTCACACCACAATTGATAGTAAGCCAATTATATTGGGTATTTAGAGGTAATCAGCACATTGGGCTCAATACCCAACTTTGGAGGTAATTTGAAAATCACGTGAAAGATAGATAAACATTATCAACCATTTTTCTCTCGTTTTGAACTCTATCTTTCAGTTTTTATTAAACTCAAATCTTGCAGTTTTGACTGAACTCAATCTTGCAAGATTTTTGGGAAATCCATTTCTTCTTGAAGCCTATAAATTGGAGCCCCTTTCCTTCAGTTTATACAAACCAAAAACGAAGAAAACTTTCTCTGCTTTGTGCAAAAGGAAGAACCTGCCTCTACCTTCTTGTGAACCTATTTTTGTGACTCAAAAAGGCCTTCAAATTGGGGATACCTTTGTGGTGTTGGATCAATTTTCTGAGCCTAATCTAGAAGGGGAAAACATTGTTCTATAATTTTGTGATTTTGGTTCTTGATTTCCTTTTCTTTATTATTTGCAAATTCCTAAACTAATTCGTTGATTTGTTCGATTTGTAGGTGGATTTGCTCAACATAATTATTAACTTTTGGACTTTTCAATTTAATTGACATAAAAGTTGAAAAAAATGTTAATAATGCGCGACAAATTGTGCCTTAAAGCAGTCAACAAAAGTTTTTATTGCTAAATTAACGCATAGATCCTAAGCGCGCCATTTAAAACATTTGAACTTGCAGCTTCAAAGTGTTGACAGCTAAATTAGCGCACAGGTCCTGGGCGCTAAATTTAAAATACTTGAATTTACAGCTTCAAAATTTTTTATGTAAAACACACTACGAGGTTATTACTGGGGTTCTGACGTACAATACATATTAAGGAAGAGTGAATCAATTATCTTGTCAAGTATGCACCAGTTTTATTGCCAATACTAACACTGATATNACGTACAATACATATTAAGGAAGAGTGAATCAATTATCTTGTCAAGTATGCACCAGTTTTATTGCCAATACTAACACTGATATTCCCTGTACATCGATATTAAGTCTTGAGGTAGTCCGGGATTTTATGGCGAAAACAGAAATTGAGTAAAAATAACATAGAGGATAAAAAATCCTTTTCATGCCTTTCAAAAAATAATTAAAAAAAGTTTTTAAGGTTATTGGACAACCTCTTGTTCAGCTCTTGGGAGCAGAAAGGCTCTCGTAGAAGAGAATATACCCGTGATCTGTGTTACTCGAGTATTCTTGAGCTGATCCGAAAAACGTCTGGACAGCAGATTCATCAATCATCTCCACATTTTCATCGTCAAAGAACAACCAGTGGTTGTGGCTTTTGACAAGACTAACGTAATGACCATGGTTTGGGCCGCTCCCAACATGAACTACCACAGCAAACAAAGAGTATTCAGAGTCAGTATCTTCCATTGTATTGCTCAGTTTCAGCTCCAGTGGGAACACAACACGATATGACAACTTTTTGTATCGACCAAGTTGTTCCATGTACTTGAAACGCTTAAGATGAATGACCAGGATATGTGGTGGTTTCTTTATCTTCATCCTCTTCTGGGCTTCTTGCAAACTGCATTACGGTAATGAAAAATAATTAACTTTATGTTTTGTCGTTTAATGATTGATATTACGAATGGACAAAGACACTTGCCTACAACATTTATCGCAGAAGAATTTATCCTCAGCATTCAGGGTCTCCGTAGAACTGAAGTTCTTGAGGCAGCTAGTAATTGAACTGTTTTGTTCAATATCAAGGCTTAAATCCAAGAATGTCTCGTCCCTTGCTGTAACTGTCTCACACCTAAGACACCTAGTCTCATTGGTGAGAATGCCCTGTATTTGGGTAAAAGTCAAGATCAACAGATGAGAAGCTGGTCAAACAAGCGAGCATCTTCCAAAACATTAGACAACTTCAGAGCATCAGAAAGTACCAAATGATTCAGATGTATTAACAAGTTTAAGAATTTAGGCTCATATTACACTTTTAACCAACTTTCAAAATGTTGAAACTCGCTAACGCTAACAGGCTTATGAAAAATAGAACATGACAATCGAATAAATTTTTTTAAATTCATACTACAATAGAACTTGCAACAAGTTACCTGAAAATACTTGTGCACCAAAGTAACCAACGGTTCCTTCTTAAAACCATTAACCTGAGCATAATTGACCCCATTTGCAACATGCTCAGCAGATGAAGCTTGTGGCAAGCTTGTCACTTTGTGGGATTCTTTCTCCAGTATGTCAGCAAGTTCATTTAGTAAAAAGTTCAAAAATTCATGGGCATCCTGCACAACAGCATGAACATCGCATGCCTCAGATCTATTTTTGATCTATAAAATCACGATAAATATGCATACAAAGTAAACCCGGCATTCTATCTTGGATTGACCCAACGATATAGAGACAGAGAATAAA